TGAAATAAAATCGAAATTAAACATAAACCATATGAGCTAGACAACACGACCAAATAAAATATGTCCAAACTATAGAAACGAATTAAAATTTTAATTTAACATAAAAAATTTAAAAAAAATAAATATGTAATTTTTAGCTTATTCTCATGCACTTTATAATTTTATTTTAAAAAAATATATTATTTTTAAATAAATGGGCCATTTAATTTATAAAAAAAAAGAATAATCACAGCCGTTGATTATTAAAAAGAAAAACGTTTTTTTAGAGAGAATAATCACAGCCGTTGATTAATTTTCTGTGATTTAATTTCGTACGTAAAAATGCAACTGAAAAATATCCCCACCCACTTGTTGATATCTGTCCTTTAGCAGACCAAAAAAGCAAAAAAAAAAAAAAAAAAGCCCATAATTAGGAATAATAATTGGGTGTTGCCGGTCTCACTAAACCCTTTTTCTTTCTACTTTTATGATGCACATCCATTGGTCATGATTAAACCCCCCATCATTCCTCGCCATCTGATCCTTCATCCCACAATTCCATCCAACCGTCCACTTGTCACAAGGAAAATGATTGTGTTACCACGACCGAGAAATTATTGAATAAGACCGTTATAATCTGACTGATGATTCGTTCAATAATATGAATTTAAAATTTTATAAATTATCTAATTATCTAATAAGACGAGTGTGTTATTGTTACTGCAGGGATTGATCAGTAGTGAGAAACGTGATAGTTTCAACATTCCTGTGTATGCACCTAGTTTGCAAGACTTCAAGGAGGTAGTAGAAGCGGATGGTTCCTTTTCTATAAACAAGCTTGAAGTTTTCAAAGGAGGTAGTCCATTAGTAGTGAACCAGCCCGACGATGCAGCAGAGGTCGGTCGAGCATTAGCCAACAGTTGTCGAAGTGTCTCTGGTGTTCTCGTCGACGCCCATATCGGCGATCGGCTAAGCGAGGAGCTCTTCAGTCGAGTGGAACGTAGAGCCACGAATCATGCTAAAGACCTTCTCGAGAAGCTTCAATTCTTTCACATTGTGGCATCGCTTTCGCTTGCATAAACAAGAGATGAACAACAACCAAAGAACATAGAACAAAACACAGTGCTTTCTTCTCTCTTTTGGTGTTTGTTTGTTGTGTCTTTTAAGGATGTGATATGTTACATAGGAAAGAACATGAATCAAACAGGCAAAAGAGAGAGGTCAAAGGAGCTGCCCATATTCTGTCTTTCTTTTTTGTTCATTATAACTTTGTAGTGTGATGCTTTGTGAGTCATTTACTGACTTTGTAGCTATAAAAAGAATATGTGCTTATAGTTGACGGGCTTTGATCATCTTAGATCGATGCTAATATGTACGGGACGAGTATATATCTTAACCTGACCCGTGTTGAGTATAATTGATTTAAAATGGGTTTGTCAGGTACTTAAACTGGGACAATATTGTTTCACGTCGCAATGTGTAACGACCTATATTTGAGGGACAGAAAGTTCAAGTCGTGAGTGTAAAAGCTATTAGCACGAGTTTGTCTCATAACTGGTGGGCATGCAATCCAAGGAAAACCCTAAAACCCATCGTCGCTCGTGTCATTGGCTAATGTGGTGGAATCATTCTTCAATAGTTATGCCTAATCTTATGTGGTGACATCGAGCTTATGTTTGGCTACGATTTCATTTTTTGTTTTAGGGAAAAACCCACTTTGGTGATTGTTTGGCTTCTTTAGCTCGTTTTTATCATACGAACGATTGTCAACTGTTACTGTTTGTATATGTTATGTCGTCGCCGATTACTGTGCCTTATCTGTCAATAGAAGCATCACGATAGGGCTGGTGGTAAGCTCGATCTTTCTCTGATTTTTATTTTGGATTCGATTCAATTTTGGGTCAATGAATCTAGATTTTTCCACTATTTAGGGGTTTCGTGCTTGTTCTGTCGTGGTTGAGGGAGGAGAAAATTCATAGACAACTGAGACAGGTGGAGGAGCGTTTATGAACCAAGTAATTGCCACAAAAAATCGCACTACGAACCGCCCAATCTTGTAGTTTTAGCTATTTTTCAGTTACTACCGTTTTTACGGTTATTTCTTCGATTGACTCAAAGATTTGCAAGACTGGAAAGGTCGAGATGGTTGAGATACTAGAAAACGGTACAACGTTTACAGCAACTTTTACGACAAGTTTAGAAACATTAAACTCATATCGAGCACGAGTCCTACCAAATAAGGATATGGAATAAGATTGCTTAGATTTTACAAACAATATGAATGGAACTCTCCACTTTAGAATCTAAAAATTTGAGGAATCAAAAATAGAAACTTTTTAAATTGAAAGATAATACAAAATATTTTCGATAAATTGAAGAAATGAATCGAAAGTACCAAAATGCCCTTAAATTTTCAGGTTATTTACAAGTATGGTATAAGTTAAAATACGGTGTCGTTTTTGTTGTTATGGCGGTTGTCTACGAGTGGAAGCTTCACGGACTCGGCGCTGAAGAAGATTTTTTTTGGGGCTTCAACTTCAATGGAGGGAATCGGATCCAGATTGGGCCGAGCCTCGTCGCGGTACGGTCCGGCGGCCACCGTCTTCAACGGCCCCGTCCGGAGGTGGAAGAAGAAGTGGGTGCTGGCATCTTCTTCTTCCTCCGGCGTCAACTACCAGACTTCTTCTCAGTCCCAATCCAACGCTCAGAAGCTTCTTCTATGTCGCTGGACTCCGATTCATCCGTCTACTTCATCGGAAGCGGACGGAGCTGCCGCGCCGCCTGAAGAGCCTCCTAGACGGAAGTTCCGTTACACTCCTGTAAGTTTGAAGCTCTATTTGAATCCATTTTCATGTCCGATTGATGCTCTGTGTTTGGTGAGCGAGCGATTGCGATTCCGTTTGAAATTCTTCGTTGATCTCGTCTATCGTTGATTTTGATGGATGATGCAGCGATTTTTGATTTCTAGTTACCGATTTTAGTATGCGCTTACTTTTGGCAACGATTCATGAAAGGATGTGGTTTCTGTTCATTTGTGTCTTGATTATGAGTGAGTTTAGGTCATCTCGTACTCTGTTCTTCTTGATTAGGATTTAACTTCGAGCAAACAATTTGTGTGTGTTGGTTGTGATGTGCAGATTGCTGTGCTGGAGGAGCAGAAAAATGCAGGATTGAGGAGTGTCAAAGATGAAGTTAGAGTGAAAGAAATGGACCAGTCGGCGTCGAAGACGGCTACTGTGGGCAATGAGGCTCAGGGAGAGCTAAATGTCAATGAGGTTTTCAAGGAAGAAACTCAGGTGACTGACTGATTTCAACTTGGTTTCTTTAACTTTGTGAAGTTTCTTTGTTCTTGTTCTTGCTCTCTACACGATTATCTTCTGAACGTAGAACATAGCTCAACTAATTTAGACATATACGAAGGTTAGAGGATCTGCCCACATATTGTTGTGCTAAAACGGACACTTTAGTTTGGCTAGTGTGTCCATACCGGACACTTAAACGCTCCAACACCTGTTGGACATGTATTGAACTTGTGCTTGTTGAACATTTAAGTATGATAAATAGTCACATAATTATACAAAACAAAAATGGTATTGAAATGCATCGAACTCATTTTTATAAGCATATAGATGCATGAACTAGTTAATAAACATGTTTTTGTCATGTCCATGTCCTAGGTTCTGTTCAACATGAGCATAGTTCAACGACATTTAACATGTACTCCTTCCTTTGAGGTTGGAGATTCGAATGTCGATCGTCGTTCTAAAAAAAGCTAAACAAAATGAAACGGAAAACTTGAGTGGTTTTGTTTTTTTCGTTATAAAACTGGGTTTCTCTGTATAGTTCTGGGTTCAGGAAACCAGGAAGAATGGAAGTCATCTTTACTAGTGGGGCGCACTGAGAGACAAGTTCCAATTCACATACTCATGAACTGTGGCATAGTTTACCAGATTAACATAATCATAGAAAATGTAGCTATTTGATGAACTTGATGAACTTGATGAACTTGAATGGTAGATCTAACAGTACAAAATGGTAGAACTTCTCAAGAACTTGATGAACTTGAATGGTAGATCTAACAGTACAAAATGGTAGAACTTCTCAAGAACTTGATGAACTTGAATGGTAGATCTAACGGTACAAAATGGTAGAACTTCTCAAGAACTTGATGAACTTGAATGGTAGATCTAACGGTACAAAATGGTAGAACTTCTCAAGAACTTGATGAACTTGAATGGTAGATCTAACGGTACAAAATGGTAGATCTTCTCAAGAACTTGATGAACTTGAATCATTCTCTATGCAGGAAACAAGCAAGATTCTGAACAGCCCACGGGATGGAAACAGGAACAATTTAGATTTGGCTTTGTGCTTGAATGGTCAGAACCCGAAACAAGATTCTGCCGGTAAGAGCTCTTAAAGTCTGCAAACGGGACCGAGCTGAAACCGGGTTTACCCTATGGACAATGGTATAGCAGAAGTAAGTCTCTTATGAAATTAGTATCTCATGCAGTAGTAAATTGGAAGCATAGTATGTTATAGTGACTGTTTGTATATGATCTTAGGGTGTTAGTGGGGGATGGATGAGTATATAATCTAGGACGACTTTCTCAGAATTTGCTTGTTGTGGAAAGTGTATTTATTCTTCCTGAATAAAAATGTGCAATCAGAATGCTTTGGGAAAAACCAGCCCTTTCAAAATGTTCATAGAGTAAGCGAAGCTGCCTGGTCTCTCTTCCTAGGATGAAAAGCTTAGAAGAAATGTGTAAATCGAAATCCTTGTGCACACTTGGTCTACAATGGCCATAAACACTCGAGAGCAAGAGTGTAACAGTCCAAGTTCATTGTAAGTAGATATTGTCCTTTTTGGTTTTTCCCTTCTAGGCTTCTCTTAAGGTTTTAAAATGCATTTACTAGGGAGAAGTTTCCACACCTTTAAGGAATGCTTTGTTCCCCTCCCAACTGATGTGGGATCTCACAAGGGGTTTTGATTACATCTCGAGATGGTCACACTGGCTAGAAACCCTCGTGCACCATCGTTAATCCGGGTTTTTGGCTTGAACATGTAGATAATCTCGGGAATGACTTCTGTCCTTGACCGCTTAAACATGAAGCTTGCTTGTAACAATGTCTTAAGCACCACACATGGTGGGTAGGTATACGAATAACTCAATGCTATTCTTTTTAACAAAAGAAAAATAAGTTCTAATTCAATTGGAAAGATAGAATCGTTGTTTGCACCTCAAACAGCATTTCCCGTGATCCATAGCAGCTTCAGTATCTTTAGACATCAATCCGTTGAATTATCTTCCACTGCTTGAGTCACGCCAACCTCGGCTGGCCGAAGAACTCGATCATGTAGCATATATCCAGACTATCATAACAAAAACATGAGAAAATCACATCTCTCCACAACCAATTCAGTGTCCATCAAATCAAACTCCTAAACTAATCAGTGATGATCTCATGTTCTTGAAAAAAGTTGAGAGCAAATATTTGTTATAATGCATTAACAGGCTGTTCCTAAATTTGCCTATAGCTTAGTCTAAAAGACAGTTCCTTTCCAGTTTGATCAAATGAATTTTGCTTGGCATATGAACTAAGATGCATTTGTTCTTGTGAGAATAAGCAGAATAACAAATTGGAACTAGTACCTTCAGCACAACAGCCACAGTGCCGTCTGGCTTCGATCCATCCGGTATTTGGAATACAGCATAATGCTTATGCGGATCAAATGGCTCGCTTGTAGGGTCGAATTTCTCGACCCCCGACTTCTTAAATACCTGAAGAACAAGTGTCTTAAGCATTAGAACAATAGACTAAACTTGGGGCTTTCCTCTTGAAATGTTGAATAGCTCATGATAATTATGCATATAAATTCACCTCCATAAGCTGTTTCTCAGTCATATCAACCCCTTCTAAAAGGGTTTTTAGAAGAGCTACGGCTCCACTTGGATCTTCAGATTCATCAATTTTTGAGAAACTGTCTTTAACAACAGATGAAGCTCTTCCCAAGTTGTCAGCAACATCAAGCAAACTCTTTGCAAAATTCTGTCAAACATATGATAACACACATAAGCAGCTCGTGTTTAAGCAAACCGAGTACCGGGAGGAATCCCGACGTAAAATTTATAGCATTAAGAGTATGTCACTCAAGAAACCTGAATGGCAAACTTCTTTGAATTCTCTGCTTCACGTTTCGTCCTGTCCATAACATTCTCCATTTCTGCATAAGAACAGAGGACTTTCTCTTGCATTTTCTCAATCTCTTTGTGCTTAGACTTCAGAAGCTCTTCCTTTCGCGCCAGTGATTTTACCAGATCATCCATGGAAGGTTGTTCGTCGCACTCAGAATCCGAATCGGAAAATGCAGTTCTTATTGTCCGCCTTCTCTGCCGTCTTGATTTCGATTTGGTGGAATGGGAATCCGTTGTGGAACTCAATTCCTCTGCTTGGTTAGACACTTCAGAATTCACATCATCTTGTTTTGCACTCCCCTCTTCATTTTCAGAAGATTCATGGGAAGCAGTAGAGGATACTCCGAATCTTTGGAAGGGGAAAGGATTGGAGACTATATGATTTAGTAGAGACACATGAACTGGAGCAGACTGGAAGGGGAAGCATATTAATCAGTGACAGGAAAAACAACCTTGAATCCTAACATTAGCAAGCAAAAACTCACCAAAAGTACCAAATCTAAGAACAAGGCAGGTTAAGATATGATGAGAAATGCGAAATCATGTTAAATAAACAATGCTACATCAATAATAGTCAAGAAAAACTCACTAAGTTCATTTTTCGTTCATATCCAGATGAAATCAGCTTTCCATTTTTCAATTTAGTTATGAAAACTCTCTGTACTTTTGAAACCAGATTGAATAGAAATCAAAGATCTCACAAAGAGTGATGAGAGCATGAAACTAAAGATTGCGAAATCGCAAGCGAAACTGTAAGATTTCAGAATGGAGGAGTGCCTATTCAATGGTGAAAAAAAACCCTAACTAAAACACGAGAGGAGAGAACCTTGAAAACACGGCTTAAGAACCTCAACCTTGCCGGAGATCTCATCAACGAGACCGTGAAATTGCCTGTAGAGAATCGGAAAAGTACGGCAGTTCTGTGATTGGTTGCGTATGAGGATCGGCGAGCTCTGGTGCAGGCTCCTGGAAGCTCGGACGAGGATTCTGAAGGAGGACATTGAGGAGAAGAAGTTGAATACCGGAACGGTGAAATGGAAAACGAAGTCAAATGCTTCAAAATTACAGAGATGCAACGGCGGAAGTTCCGACGAGAGGAGAAAAATCTTGGGAATGAAGGCGGCAGGTCGGAATAAAGGCTACCGGTGATTTTGGACTTCACATATTTGCCGTCCACTAGTGAAGCCGGTTGTGAGGTGAATTTTAAAATTTAAATATTTTGATTATTCCGCATCTACCTCCTTCTCTAACTAACTAAAATATTAGGGTTAGTCGGCCCTCAAACCGGCTTCTTTTGTTTTAGGGAGACCGAGCAGGCCCTTTTTGTTTTAGGGAGGCAAAGTCGTATGCTACACTCGAACAGGCTCCTTTTGTTTTAGGGAGGCACGAGCGAGCTCCTTTTGTTTTAGGAAGGCAAAGTCGTAGGCTACCCTCGAACAAGCTCCTTTTGTTTTAGGGAGGCAAAGTCGTAAGCTACCCTCGAACAGACTCCTTTTGTTTTAGGGAGGCAAAGTCGTATGCTACCCTCGAACAGGCTCCTTTTGTTTTAGGGAGACACAAGCGGGCTCCTTTTGTTTTAGGGAGGCAAAGTCGTAGGCTACCCTTGAACAGGCTCCTTTTGTTTTAGGGAGGCACGAGCGAGCTCCTTTTGTTTTAGGAAGGCAAAGTCGTAGGCTACCCTCGAACAAGCTCCTTTTGTTTTAGGGAGGCAAAGTCGTAGGCTACCCTCGAACAGACTCCTTTTGTTTTAGGGAGGCACGAGCAAGCTCCTTTTGTTTTAGGGAGGCAAAGTCGTAGGCTACCCTCGAACAAACTCCTTTTGTTTTAGGGAGACAAAGTCGTAGGCTACCCTCGAACAGACTCCTTTTGTAAACGGACTCCTTTTGTTTTAGGGAGGCAAAGTCGTAGGCTAAAATTTACCGTACTTTTGCTTTGACCTTGAAAGAGTGTGAGCCTATCTTTGGAGTTATTTTACCAGAGGAATACCATAGAAGATCAGAGTTATTTACATATGAACTACGATAACGTTTATCACAATTTTGGACTGAAATATCAAATGTTTGAATCTCAATTTGAAACAGTGATAGACTCTTGAGGCCTTTCATCACACCTTCATATTAACTCCAGTGAACCTTTTCGATAACGAAAATCTTAAAAATTTTCTTACTCGATACAATATACGAGTGGTTAAATCTTATATCAGCACAAAAATTAGGTTTTCGAGCGAGAATCGAACCATCAAGTTGCTAATATGAACGTATCAGAGTGAATAAAGCACCAATTACCATTCCAAAAGGTCAGTGGTTCCATCTCGGCTTTCAAATTATTGCATCTATATGGTTTTAACAAGAACAAAACTCTCCAAGTCATGCTTGAGCAATTCCCTTTTTCACAACCATCTCATAAACTCTATCTACCTTACTTGGATCCACCTTGAACAGACCATGGACATCAGATTTCTTTGTAACACTGCCTTTTAGCATCTCAACTGATATGATATCCACCATTTTCAGATAATGAGCTGGTAATATTCGTATCTCACAGCAAAGTCGCCTCTCCTACACGAAGACATCGAAAAACGATTAAACATAACATCGACGAACGGTTTATCGCAGCAAGGAGAGAACCAATGTCCAACCAGAGAAATATGGAAGACAGGAGAAAATGTTCTCACCATTTCAGATAGTAAATCAGCGCCTGCAAATCCCGTGATGTCCCAATCGTGAATCGAGCTCGAAATCCACGTTGTTGCTGGAGATGGTTCCTTGCCGCTGCCTTGCGATCTTGGAGATTCTTTTACACTGCCCCTGGGATTGTCATCGTGTTCTCCTTTGAGATGATTTGATACATCACTTGGAACAGCTTGACTATTTTCCTTTACTCTCTTGCTGTTGTCTCTGGTTTCTTTCCTTTTCTGATCAAGAAATCTATTTGATTCGACAATTGTTCGACATCCAGCAGCTCGAGCTGCCTATACTTACAAGATGTATATTAAATTAGTTAAATCATACAATAGAGAGATTTCCTGCAATATGATGATCATGCAAAGTAGTCTGAAATAAGAAATTTTGACCATATCAAACATAAACATATCAACCCCGCTAGCAGATATTGTCCTATTTGGGGTTCTCCTCAAGTTTCTAAAAAGCGTCTGCTAGGGAGAGGTTTTTACACCCTTATAAAAAATGTTTCGTTCTCCTCCTCAACCAATGTGGGATCTCACAATCCACCCCCTTCAGGGCCCAGCGTCCTCGCTAGCACTCGTTTCCTTCTCTAATCAATGTGAGACCCCCCAATCGACCCCGCTTTGGGGCCCAGCGTCCTTGCTGGCACACCGCCTCGTGTCCACCTCCCTCTGGGGCTCAAGCTCCTCACTGTTACATCGCCTAGATACCATTTATAGTAGCTCAAACCCACCGCTAGCAGATATTGTCCTCTTTGGACTTTCCCTTTTGGGGTTCCCTCGAGGTTTTTAAATGTGTCGGTTAGGGAGAGGTTTCCACACCATTATAAAGAATGTTTTGTTCTCCTCTCCAACCGCCCAAGTTTTTTTCTCCCTATGGTGGCTTAAAATGCCATGAGCCTCAACGTAAAATGAGTATGCAGCAGCAACCCAGATAACAACTTATTCTTGCTTGATTTTATTTTGAGGGCAAGAAACCAAGTTTTCATTGAACAAACGAATGAAAATGCAAGGGCGTGAGAAAAAAACAAAGGTCAGGGACTCCAAATCTATACAAATATTTACATGCACATGTATTTTCAATTGTATCCTAGCCTGATTATTTCTCTTTCCAGATAGAATTACCAGTCAATTGATAGCACCAAGCAGCCGCATAATTTAAAAGGCAAAGTCAATAACTAAACCTGGAGTTCTTGTATTCTCTTCACAATGCGATGTTCTTCAATGAGATTCTTAAGAAGCTCTTCTTGGTCTTCCTTGGAGTGGAACCGCATGAAGACCTTATAGGGCTGACATATTGCCCTCTCTTCAGGAGATAAATGTTTTTCAAATGGGTCGGAGTAGAGTAGATCTCTGTCCAGTATGAATTCCTTCCTGCGTTTCCTTTCATCAAGCCTGCCAACAGGTCCAAATGCATATGAATCTAGATTATTAATAATCAATTAAACAAAGATTGCCAAAATATCTGCATACAGTAGCATAAACTAAGTAGAAGAACAATGTTAATGCTTTGGATAACAATTGCTTCAGATTAACAAAATAATCACTCTCAAGATAGTTATGATAATGCTAAAGTAGTTCAAGAAGTAGTAATAATAATAATAATTGGAGTATCAAGATTCTCCTCCTGCAGATGACCCACCTGCTGATCGGTATAGAGGCAATGCCCACCTATAGGTTGTAGAAGACGACAGGGGTTTCTAAATAATCAAGTATTCAAAATGGAGGCTTAAACCCGAGAATTTCGAACTTCCTATCCCCTTAATAACAAAATAATAAAATTCCGAGCAGCAACATAACCACACCATCTAAGATAATACTAAATCGGTTTTGTCGCACCTCTTCGAGTATATGCGCAAAATCCTCAATTTAAGTTCATGGTCAGCTGCGGAGTCGGTGTCCTTGAATTCCATATCTGCTAGTAAATGCTCAGCATCATTGTCATATTCAATGTCGAACTCCTTCCGCTTGAAGTTATATCCACTCAACTCAACCACAGAAGGCCCACTGTCACCTAATACCCTAGGTTTTTTCTCACTAAAGCTTCTGTCTGCTTCAGATTCTGCAAATATTAAAAAAAACAGTGAAGGGGGGGGGGGGGGGGGGGGGG